TGGTTGACATGACAAATTTCCGAAATAATAACTTGAGGTAAGGCTTTTGGAAATATTCGCTCCAATTTTATCCTAGTTCTGTTTTGAGGTTTCCTCCGGTGTACACGAACTTTTTTCTCAGATTTTCTTTCGCGGGTTTTTATAGGATTCTATATTCGTCAAGTAGGCCGCTTCTTTTCTCTTCTTCTCTTGCATGCACTAGGGCATGTGAGTGCTAAATTATTCAACCCTTTTTTCTAATAAATACTAGGAAAGTATGTATAGGGTGTTCCAATTAATTTGACCGATTATAAATGAGATTTAATTTTAAGCTTCTAATGATTTTTTTTTCTTTTTCTCTCAGATTTAACAACTTAAGTCTTTGGAAATTTCAATCATAGAAAGATTAACAATCAAAAAACATGTTAAAATATCGAAGCCTATTACGAAAATGGATGTTCAAATTTATAAATATACGACCCAATGATCCCGCTAGCAAAAAGAAAAATGCACATCAAGCAATGACCTTTTGTGGATGCAGTGTTTTTTTTTTTAACAATCTTCGTTGGATTTTCATCAGCCCAAATACGACAATTCTGCTTATTAACGAATTCACTAAGATGAAAATGGGCTTCATCACTAAAGAGGATTTTTTGCGAAAAATCTTCAACGGCTTGTCTTTTCTCGTGCACCCAATTGACGAATGTACGGCGCTCCTAATGGTCATCAGGTTTCTGTTCTTGTGTCAACTGAATTTTGTGAGCGTTTAGAGACAAATCTTTCGATGTAACGTTGTTGTGGAGAAGTTCAATTCCAAGGTTTCATCTGTAGGGAAGGTGATGGTTTTTATTTTTTTGGGATGTAAAATGTATTGCGATTATTGACTATATTCAGAAGGGCCACACCATCAATGGAGAGTATTACGCCAACTTGTTGAGACAGTTACGAAATGCTGTCAACAACAAACGTCCAGAAAAAATTGAGGAATGTGGCTTCGTCTTATCAGTACAATGCTCCAGCACACCGGCCCTTCAGTTTCAATGGTTGCTGTGTATGACTGTGGCTTTGAACTGTTGATTACCATCCCTATTCTCCTGATTTGGCCACTTCTGATTATCTTCTGTTCACCAACATAAAACACTTGGCTGGGAACTAGTATTGCAGTGATGATGACCTCATATCTGTAGTTGATGACTTTTTACTTAACAGGATGATAGCTTCTTTGGTAAAACACTGCAATACAGATGGAAGAAGTATGTGAGCTGTAAAAGGGGACTATGTTGAAAAATAAACCTCATTTAGGCACATCCCATGAGAGTGTCTTCGTTAGCCTTTGAACTTTTCAGCCGACCCCAGTAGGAGCTTGAAAATGTAGTATCCTTAAGCATTTCCATGCGGTGTTTTCCGGCGGTAGTTTTAGACAAATAGATCTAGCTTTTTTCATCGTTTCATCCCAAGCAAGGCTATAATGACACTAGAACGCAGGGGGTTTACAGGGAGTGAAAGAAATATGAGAAGACATTAGGAAAGGACGAAAAAGGAGCAGAGTTCAAGAAGACAGACGATAGCGATTGGCATTGCCTTTAAAGACTTGAAGATTGTAGTTATCAGGGAAGCAAAATGTCGAAAGGGAGCTCTACGTGCGAGAAATGAGAGATATGCAACTGTTAAAGTAGAAATGGCCTTTGAATTTAGCTAGTTCAACAATAAAACAGTGGGACCTAGATGCCAATCTAGTAGCACACTTAAATTCATGTAGTCGGAGCACCAGGGAAAAAAAGCTCATCAGAATAGCAGTCAAGGCAGAATGGAGGATAGTATTAAAATATTGCAAAATTCTTTTACTGAATTTGGACAAAATTCTGACAGAACATAGGAAAGTTGATTTACCTCAGTTGTTATTTTCCTAGCGGCGAGTGTGAGGTGGCTATTCCTTGTTTTACTGTACCCTAGTCGGTAAAATCTGTTAATTCCAGATTTCAAGGGTAAACAGATGTAGGTGCGACTTCATTTTATTGCGTGGGTTGAATTAAATCAGAGATCTAATCACCAGTGTGATTACTGATCATAGCAAACATACATCCAAATCAAATCGTTTTAATTTACCTATTTATCAAACTTTGTTTAGTGTCCATCTTATTTTGTTTTTTGAATGACGAAAGGCTTTAACGTGATATTAATTTGCCACTTGACTTACCTTTTTCTTCTTTTTTCTACACAAGTACTTAACTTTTGCAATTACTCTATTATTATTATTATTATTATTATTATTATTATTTTCTTTGATTTCTGGCGTTTACACATTTCTTTCCGGGTCCCGCATCATGACACCTTCCACTGACAAAAAAAAAATACATAGATAAAGCACTTCGTAAAGTGTGGGCTGTACTTGTCAGAACAATTTTTTTTTTATTTTTCCTTGAGGTATGGACTTCCAGGAATCCCTTCAATTAGTCTACTGCAATCTTTTCCAACCAGTCCTAGGGCTTCAACTACAAGAGGGATTGTTGATGTTCCTATATGCCACATTTTCGAGATTTCTATTTCAAGGTCCTTGTATTTTGACAACTTTTTGAATATCTTCAAAGATACATTGCAGTCAGCAGGGACTACCATATCAATAAGAAGGCACTTTTTTTGTTTGTGGTCTTTAATAACAATGTCTGGGAAGTTGGCTTTGATTGTACTGTCAGTGTGTATTGTGTAGTTCCATAGAATTGTAACAGGTCCTATTATTATTATTATTATTATTATTATTATTATTATTATTCGATTTCTGATCTAGTCACAGTACCTACCAAGTTTGCGGGAAGACCTAAGGCGGGTAATGGTGTGTTGTTATAGTTACATTTCATGATTTGTTTTTCTAAATCCTATAACATCACTAGCGTTACATGGACAAAGTTCTTCTTAGAGAGGAGGCTGTATTTATCAAAACATTATTTGTATTTCTCTTAGGCTGGGATTTCCAGGGATTTTTTCAATGTGTTGTTGCGTTCCTTTTTAATCATTCCAAGCGCACCTACTATGACTTGTACTATGCACATTTTTTCTATTTTGATTTCTGCCTCCCTCATTGCACTAGAGAGTGGAGATTGGTAGTCATACCGGTGCCACCGCAAACGACAATTGCGGGGTACTGGGTTGTTTTTGGCCTTGGCTCGGGTGTACACGCTCGGGTTCTCCTCTTAAAACCGGCCTTGTGTCACACCACGTCTCAGTCGAGAGACCTGGGTAAATGCCTAAATGCCTACTAACGACCAAGTAAATAACGGCTACAAATGAAAAGGATGTATCTAAACTTAATGCAATATTTGTTACAACTACTTCAAAAACATTTAAGTAATGTAAAAATAATAATGCAGTTAAAACGGAAGTAGAAATTTACACTATAACCTGTAAGGACATCACAAGAAATTGCTGAAACTTCTAAGAATTCAAATAAAATAATATCTGAACATAAAAGATATATTTTACGAAACCACAAACTTGGTGCATTAGTTATTCATTGTAATGAGTCTGACGATAATTTCGACTTGAAGAATGCATTTTTAAAAGAAAATCTTTTAAGCCAAAAGCGCATAAAAACTGCATTAAAATCGGAGTTTTCTACAATAAACTTACACCGAGGTTCAGAGAGCATCTTATCTTTTGTTAACAAAACCACTGCTGTTATAATGTGGGATAATTAAAAACAATAAAAACGGTAATTGGCTAAATGAAGTCGGCTAGGCTCTACTTCTAGACCAGAGCTTCTTAACCTAGGGTCCATGAACCTCTAAGGGTTCATGGATGGGTATCAGGGGTTCCGTGATGATCAGATAAAAAATAGCATTTATATTCGCTATACAAGCCTTGTCTCAAATCAACGGTTTCCCAATGAAAGAAATAAACGAAAATGAAAGAAAACGCACCCAGGAACTACTTACAGGGTCGACCGATAGTCGTCTCTTGACATTCTGTTGCGTTAATTTTTACCATTTAAACGTGCGTTATTATTCTCTGCGCGACCGCCATCTTTTGCCACTTCATAAGAGCAAGTGATAATTCTCATTTTCCACAGTTTATGACAGCTTGATTATCTTCATATGATGGTGAGGATTAATTGACCCTAATTTCTCTCAAGCGTGGCTGGATGAAACGTGATGTGTATGCAGTGTGCATAAGTGTGCAGCATGGAGAAATACATGTACAAGTGTTGTGGAAAACCAATCAGACTGTGAGTATCTGCTTGTCTATCTATCTGTCTATAAATGGCTAGTTCATATATTTCTTTTCCGTGACTAAAGAGGTCAGTGACCCAAAAGAGGTTAAGAACTACGAATTTGGAAACATTTGTCGCCTGATGCTTAAAATTCAAAGTTCAGCCTCTATGCTTTATTTAATTCTTTTTAAGGACGAAACGCGTTACATAGGATTGCTTCCATTTTGTCATTCAAATACACACATTATTTTTTTTCTAAAAATGAACAAAGTTATACAATGAGACAATTACTTTTATTTCTTTTTTAATTATATAATATTTATGTACAATTTCTTTTTAAACATTTGGATATACAATTTGAAAACGCCAGCAGACAATTTAAACTGAAAAAATATTTATTTACATTATTTACTATTGTCCTCATTTTTGTTTTGTTATCCGAATGTTTCCGCTCTCAATTCTTCAACAGGTGTTTATTGATTTGGGTAACCTAAAGGCAGTTCCAAACTGAATCGATCCAGGTAACCTAGAGGTAATTCCGAACTGAATCGATCCAGGTAGCCTGGAGATAATTCTGATTCAATTCAGAATTCCCTGTAGGTTACTCGAATCGATATATACCTGATGAAGGCTTGAGGACACAATGGCCGAAGCGTTATGATAACAACATCAAAATGAGGACAATGGCTCGGATGGAAATAGTGTAAATAATGATAACTGTTGTTATCCAAAGGTTTCTACTCTCCATTCTTCATCAGGTGTATATTAATCCGATGTTTCAATGTTATATGGTTGTAGGGTTATCCGCACACACAAGCTTACAGCACATAGTATTCGGAGCGGAAACCCATCTAGGTACTGACCAAGCTCGACTGTGTTTAACTTCGGTGATCGTACGGGAACCGGTATTTCAACGTGATATGGCCGTAAGCCTAATACACCATGCGCACATCCATGCTTTCAGCACCTGGTATTCTATTATCATATTCTTTTTTTTTTTAATTTATAACATTAATAGCAATAGAAAACACTGAGAATGTTTCTATAAAAAAAAAAAAGCGAACAACTATAACATTGCAGCAGAAACATCAAATAATTCAAAGATATGATAGAAGGGAGAAAAAGCAGAGATAAGCGTGCTCTTTTAGACTGAAATATTAACGGAAAAATTTTGAAAAAAAAAAAAAAAAAAATTTCCGGAATACATTAGATAATTTTTCTCCCAAAATGAATTATAAAATCTTTGAAAATGTCTCTTTCTCAGAAAATGTTATCTGAATAATACAATTAAGAATTTTTCCTATCTATTTTCTTTTTCCTTTTAAATTTGTATAATTTCAATAACGAAGAACAAGTGTGCAATGTTTAAATCAATTATTATGAAAGGAATTTTGACAGAAAACCCTGAATATTCGATTACCACGATTCCATTTACCACCGCAGTTTACCGGGATGAACAGTGATGAGCTAAGGAATACTGTATAATTCAACTGGAAAAATTCGTGACAAATTCGTGATTCGTGAAGCCCTCTGGGTCGGCAAGAAACTCTGTGCAGCAGGCTTGGAGAAATATCCAAACTGTCGTCGCTGTACTGGGGAAGTCGAGACCATTGGTCACGCCTTTTTTCGGTGCAAGGCGGTAGTGCCGTTGTGCAAGTTTGTTGAAGGCCTCATGGTTCGCATGTTGCAGGGAAAGTTTTTTGTCCTTGAAGCTAGCTCTGTTTGTAGCAATGTGGTGCCGCAATAAGACCGAGCTCGACAATTAGATCATCTTGTGCGCCCCCCCCCTAACTAATACTTGATACAATGCCTTACGAGACAACGCCTGGGCGTTGGAGAGACCATCTGTAGCCCGCAAGAGGAGTTTCAGTGCGCGACGACATTCACGGTAGAAGGAGCACTCGGCACGTGGTGTACGGCTGGCCTCCTCTTCGCACGAGTGCACACTTCTCAGGGACGGGAAATGTTTCTGGACGTCTTCTTTCCAAAAGGCACCCTCCGCATCAGACCCGCGACACATTCGGTCTAGAAAGGTGATGCGGAGCATATATTGACGAATCTCAATGCTAGGCATACCCAGACCGCCCTCCGAGGGATGAAGGCAACAGACCTCGCGAGATACCATATGGGCCTTGCCTCTCCACAAGAAAGAGAACAAGACCTTGACTAATGACATTAGTCGGGCATACGGAAGTGGAAGAACAGAGAGTCGGTACAGGAGAATTGGATATATGTGTGAACCACATACTTCCGCCCTTCCCTTCAGGGAAAGTCTCCTCCGAGACCACAGATTAACCGCGACCTCGGCGTTCCCTTGTACCTCCGACCAATTCATTTCCAACTGGAGATCAGGACCGAACCAGACGCCGAGTATCTTGATCGGCCCATCCGTCCAGAGGAAAGGTCCGGGAAGAGAAACTCCCTTCCACGCACCCAACCGCAAGCCCACAGACTTATCGCGGTTGATCTTGGCCCCCTCACCATCTCATACCCACTGATCTCCTTGCTGACTTCGTTAATCTCGGCTCTGCTCGACACAAGAACCGAAACGTCGTCAGCATAGGATGAATATCTGGCCGAGGTGGAAGCACCAGGCAGCGAAATTCCGTAGGACCGGATTCGCCTTTAACTTGCGAAGGAAAGGTTCCAACGCAAGAACGTAAAGCATAGGCGAGAGCGGACAACCTTGACGAATGGAGCGAGACAATACGAAAGGCTTCGATCTTACCCCATTCACTTCCACCAGCGCACCGGGGGTCGCATACAAGAGTCGGATCCAGGAGCGAAAGTCGGCTCCGAAACCGGCCGCCGAAAGGACAGCCTCCAGAAATCGATGGTCAACCCTATCGAAGGCCTTGGACTGATCCAAATTGATCAGCGCGGCTTCACTGTTCTAAGATCAAGCGTACCATGTGAAGGTTATCCTGAATAGTCCTGCCCTTCACAGCACAAGTCTGTTCGGGGCCAATCAGACGAGACAGGACAAGCTGCAGACGGTTGGCTAAGATCTTCGCCAAAATCTTTAAGTCCATATTTAACATCGTTCCCTAACCCATCCCCACCGTCCTTGTCCTTACGCAGCAACTTGATCACACCCCTGGTGAAGCGTTGAGGTAAAGACCCCTGCTTCATCCAGTGGTTGAAAATCAGCTGCAGCAAAGGAACAAAAACGGGCGACAGCCTCAAGTACACTTCGTAGGGAAGACCATCTAGTCCCGGAGACTTATCCAGGCCAACCTGCTTCAACGCATCCCAGATTTCCAACTCTGTTATGGGACCCTCGCACCTAGCTGCTTCAGCTGCCTCAAGGCAGGGAAAGTCAGCCAAATAGGAGTCGAACTGAGCAGAGCTCAGACCGGGCTCCCTGGTGAAAAGATCCTGAAAGTAATCACGAAATGCCTCGCATATGCCCGCGTTTGTAGTCACGGACCGCTTATCCGGCAATGTGACGCCCGCTATATGTCGCTTAGACGCGTTCCTATTCTCCTCTGCACGCAGTTCAGCGGCCATGTTCGTCGCCTCAGAAGACATTCTTTTTTTAGCCTAGCCCAACTACCAGAGCTTGATCCTTCTTGATAAGCAAGGAGGCCAACTCTGCCTTTAGCTACGACTATGTCCCCACTAACACGGGATTTCACGGCCCGATCAACTTTTTTCTTCTAAAGCCGTTTGGGCCGCTAATCTATCTAGATTGAGTCGACGACTAAAATCGGCAGCAAACGTTCTAATTTTAGATTTTAATTTGCCCCACCAGGCATTTCCCACAACCGCCCCCGTCAATTCCCTCTGAATGATTAGTAGCAGCTGGTCCTGGAAACCCTGCTCACCAAATAGTGAACAGTTAAATTTCCAGTAACCAGCTAGTCTAGCCCTAGGTTTATCTAAGTTTACACGGACCCGGACAAGCCTATGATCCGTATAAACTATATAGTGGAAACTTTGGACACCCTAAGAGCCCTACATCGACTCTCCTAACTAAGACTCGGTCCAGGTAGCTCGCAATCGAGCCAGGAGCCGAGTTGCCACTATTAGTCCAAGTCCATGCTACCTCCCGAGGGTGTTCATTCCGGTACTTATCGACGAGACCAAACTCATCGATAAAGCCCCGAAATGGTTTCACATCCGGGTTGTTAGTACCTTGACTTTGCCCTATACGATCTATATCGGGGTCAAGGACGGCATTCCAATCCCCGCTAAAACTACCCGACGAGACGTCGTCAAAACGGCGCGATCTGCCGAAACAAAACAGGCCGCTCGGCATGGATATTGGGCGCATAAACCCCAATGAGACGTAGAGCCTTATCCTTTATGGTAACATCCAGCACGCAAAGCCTGCCCGCCGGATCCGCGAAGACAAGGGTACATGCAGCCTTCAAAGGCTTGCTCACTAGCCAAGAGACACCCCTCGAACGACCATCAAAACATGCTGAATAAAGGGCGAACCCCTTAGACAGTATGTCCTCACGATCATGAGAAGAAAACCGGGTCTCTTGCACACAACACACATCCACCCCGAGGCGCTGAAGGTCACGAGAGAACCTCGCCCTGCGAGACTCGGACCTCAGGCCCCGGACATTTACACTAGCTAACCAGAGAGCCATAGTGAAGCCTGATTAGGGTTGAACTACTGGTTTGAACATGGACGGGGTAAGGATAAACCGCCTCTCCCATAGACCCGTGGCCCATCTCAGTCTTGATGGTGCCGTCTTGGGAGATACCGCCGATATCCCAGGGGAAGGTCAGTTTAAGTGCTCTATATAGGGAGGGGTGAACTAAAACGGGGACCCTCCCTGCACAGAATTGTTTTAAATTTTTAAGCTGTTCATTTTGGGTGATTGCGATTGGCAATGTCATTTTACAAGAATTGATGGCCTCCTCAAGCATAGCCCAAATCGGTTTAGCTCCGGTTCCCGTTCTGATCACCGTGACAACTCTTTGGGCCAGCGAAAAATTTTGGGGCACTTCAATGTCCTGGTCCGCAAATTGCCTTATTGATAGCAAATACTTCAAGTCTTTAATGCGGTTTCCGTAGTCCCTGACTCTCTCGGCCTGGGCAGGAGAAATACGACAGACATTTTCTCCTGTATTATAAATAGGCAATTGAGTCTTTTTTTTTTTTTCCTTCTTGTGAGGGGCTTCTCTGTCGCTTGGAAGCAGGGGTGGCATTTTTTTACGGGGAATGACTGGGAGTATGTAGAGGTGTGCTCGCGGGTTTTGTTTAACAGAGGAAGGGGTAGGTGTGTTAAGGGGTGTGTAGAAGGATCTGTGTCTGTAAGGGCTAGGATCTCGACTGAGGGGGACGCGAATTGGATGGAGTTATCTGGGGAGAGGGTCGTTTCTTAAGAGGGGGATGGACTGGCTGGAAGACGCGGAAGGAGTTGAATTTTGGGATTGCTGATTATCTAATTTCTTTTTTTTAGCTCCTTAATTTTTTTTTTCGGTTTTCAGAAATCCTGGGTCATACATTTTTTGCTTGTCCTTGAAAGACATTTCGGAGGCCGGAGTATCGCCCTTAATGTTGCCAGAGGGAGGGGGCTGTTAGTGCCTTTCGTCCTTGGGGCTTCAGGGGACTGAGGACCCGCTGTCTGGCGCTTCCTCTGGCCTTACCAGCAACTAGCCATTCCCTTCTCCCTTCTCCACAACTGCACTAGCAGTGGGCGAAGGCTCTTTGGAGAATGTGGTCTTTTGACCAACCGGAGGATTTTCCCTACCGGTCCCAGAAGCTGGCATGCCCATTACAGGCGAGGCGGTAGGTAAAGACTCGGTCAGAGGGGATTCTGGTCAACGGGAGATTGAATTCCAGAGGCCTTCTTCTCTGGGCAGGAAGAGGAAAGGTGACCAGTCTTTGCACACTTCCAGCATACCGGTTTCCGGCCGGTCACAATGACCGGCAATTTCAATTTCCCTACTACCAGACAGTTGGGGATGGA